CTGTGTGACTTCTTCCTCTTCCCAAAGATGAAAATTCAGCTAAAGGGAAGGCGATTTGAGACGATAGAAGAGATTCAGGCAGAATCGCAGATGGTGCTTGACAGGCTGGCAAAGAAAGATTTCCAGGGATGCTTCCAGGCTTGGCAGCGGCGCTGGGATCGTTGTGTTCACTCCCAGGGGAACTACTTCGAGGGTGATGGATGAATTTAATACCTGAGATAAGTGTACGGGTTTTTTGTTTTAAAAAATAGGCGCAGTCTGGAAACTTTCTGATCGCACCTCGTATGCTATAAAACACGTAATGTTTCGAGAACTGGAATTGTCCTCGTCTTCAGGCGCGGTGAAGTTGGTAGTGATCGTAGCGATCCCAGTGACTGACACTAGCTCATTCTAACGGGTGCCCGCTTCAGTACACATAAAAACAAAAACAGATCCAGTCCTCGAAAAGTTATTTTTTTATATCAGAAGATGGACAACATCCATATACGAAACAATCCAGATACAAAGTTATATCAAACAGACTTCTTAATGGTGGTGATGGTTACGTATGTTGCATTTAAACTCATGAAGAAACGTGGCGTGATAAGAGACGCGCCATATTTAATGTTTTAAAAAACAATTTCTACGATAATACTGCCACGGAACATTTCGCACACGCCCAGACACGCCTTCATGTTAATTTAAACTTGTCTGAATCAGAATTCGTAAAGAAATTTCCACTGCTAAGCTCATACGTGTTTATGAATACAATGCAGCAACTTTATGACTCAAAAAATTGTAAGAGGAAATAGAAAACATTGTGTTTACGAAGAGTGGCAACATTTGTATCGTGATCTAATATTGTTAGGGCAAAGGGCCTACAAAATGTTTGTCAAAAGTCATGAAATACGAAAACTCACAGACTTTGGAGAAAACGGATTTTTTACGCTGCTTATACGAAAGAAGACACGAAATGAAAATGTAGAGGTGATAAGACAGAAAATATGTATGAGAACTGTTACACAATTTTCATTACGTTCTATTTTAATAGTAGTTTCAACGATTAGGTTCTAACCCAGACATCTTAAGTACTACAAACCGACAGCCTCTGCTTTGTCAGATGTACTCAGGTTCGTACGAAAGTTTGCTATGTGCCAAAGTCTATCTTAAATGACGCATAAGTTTTCAAAGATTCTTGACATTTGAAATCAAATCTTAACATTTAAATTTATTATCTCAAGAATGATATCGTTTTAAATTATAAGATGAGTGGCTTGTTGGCATGTCGAAAATCGATAATATTTTTAGAATAACATGCTTTAACATAAATTTTTCTTAAATGTGTATTTAAATAAACAAAGTATTACACGGCCTACGGAGCTTAAATTTATAATCACTACTGACAAAAGGTAAACATGAAGCCATAAAATAGACACGTTCAGTATACAGTTCATATAATAAATGGAATAAACGAAATTTTCAGTGACAAACAGAATTTATAATGTCACTGACGACACAAATTGCGTAACCAGTTATTGCATTTGATTGTAACGAGAAATTTCTAATGAACCTCGTATTTCTGAAATGTATTAATCAATATTGATGATTCCATCTCGACACAGTATTCCTCCCACAGCCAAGGTTTGTCATCTCAATTATTTATAGCCTATTTTCAGACATCTGACTCATCTTTCGTAAAGGTATTAAAATTTTTCTCTCTTAACTCGCCGTTTATACGAGGATTAAAGTCTTGTAGGAACTCAGTTTTAGTTAAGAGTTACCTGTCGTTACTTAACAATCGTGTGTTAACTGCAAGTTAATTCAAATTAAAATACAATTACGAAAAAAAAATATAAAATCTCATCTATGCGGTACATGTGAATTAATAAGAAAACAATTAAAAAATATTAAAATAATATTAGATATTGTTAATAATTATACAAAAAGAGTTTCTACCGACTACAAGACAGCAAGACAATGACTGAAGAATCTATGAATGATGGTTTCATGAAGGATTATCTTAGAGTTAACATAAAAACTTTGAAAATGGTTGGCCTGTGGAACAGCTTTGACTTGCAGAACAAATCATATCGCGCTTACAACATTTTCTCCGGTTTCGTTTCGACTGTGATATTTATACACGTGGCGACTCAAATAGCCGATCTGTCTTACACGTGGGGAGACTTAGAAAGTTTTTCAGCTACCGGAAGTACAACTCTGACATACGGAGCGGCTTTGGTTAAACAGCTTTGTTATCTGGCGAACCGTAAACGAATATATCGTATGGTCCACAGGCTGCGTGACGGAAGATTGTCTCCTCCTTCTAAATGGTCAGAAGAACAGAAAAATATCGCAAACACTTACGACCGGCACGCGAGGACGATGAGTTGGTGTTACTACAGTCTTGGAATTGGCTGTCTATTCTGTTTTGCCATGACAGCGATCGTTAGCAACAGCATTCAGACGTTTGACGACGTTAATTCTACGGAAACATCTTCAAGAAAATTACCCTACAGAGCAGTGTTTCCCTTCGATATTGAACAAACAGGATATTATGGAATAGCTTTCAGTTTTCAGATGTTGGTAATAGTATTCGGGCCAACTGTGAATATCGGTCTCGACACCATGTTTGTTGGCCTCGTAATTCATGCCAGTGGCCAGTTTAAAATCCTCAAGAACGCTCTGAGGAATATTAAACAAAGAACGATAAAAATTATTGAAATTGAAGGAATTGTAGAGGAGGAACCACGTGATAAAACACACCTAACTGTACCAAATTACAACTGGGAAGAAGATACATTCTTCTTGGAGACTTTACAACAGCAAATGTTAAGAGAGCTTAACCGTTGTCTCCAACATCATCAAAAAATTCTCATGTAATAATGGACATAATTCTTACTTTTCGTGTATACGGATAGAAGGCTTTCGAACGGTTGTGTGTCGTATTAGATTCACGGAATATGTAAAATGACTCTTTCTGTACGTAAACCACTGTGAGCGTCTAACTTGCAATTAACACTTATCTGCACTGGGACGTACATTAAGCGATGTGAAACGTGGCGATATTAAAAGTAACTTTAAAAGATTATCAAATAAATGTTGCCCGAAAACTTAATTTGTGAGCTTCTAACTTGCAATTAACACTTATCTGTACTGGGACGTACATTAAGCGATGTGATACGTGGCGATATTACAAATAACTTTAAAAGATTCTCAAATAAATGTTGCCCGAAAACTTAATTTATTTTTAGCTAAAGTTGTACATGCGCAGAAAAGAGATATGTACGTAAGATTTGAGGTTTTCGCAGCGGTGAGTATGAAGATTTCTGTCTTCTGGGTTCTTGCGCTGTGTAGTCTGGTAGATGTTAACCAACGTTTCAGAGGTCATACTGCCTCCGTCATCAGGGCGATGAAGATTTCTGTCTTC